TAATTATATTAATATTGATTAGTATACAGTTGATAGAAAAAAATGAATAGTTATAAAATGAGTAGAATGGTAGAAAATAAACGAGATGAAACAAGTATGGAACGAAACGAATGTGGGACGAAACGAGAGGATACCTTTTTTAGACGTACTTATTTGTATAAATGAAAAAAGGGAGGAAATAGATACGAGTTGGTGTAGAAAAAGAAACGGCAAAATATAAACAAAAAAGACGTGTATTCCATAATCGAGGAAGATCATGAATAGCTAGACGAATTTCTTCCGGTAAAAGGATATGCACAACGTAATAGAATATATTATTCATTTTCAAAATCGGTTCTCAAAGTTACACGGCCGAATACCGATAAATATCAACTGTGCATAAAAGTGATGCTGTACTTATATATATTTAGCCATTCACGTTGGTACTACAGTACGAAAGACAATAACATATTTTCCGTCGGGTTGCTCATTTATACTGTAAATTTTGATATAGCCCCCAGCTGCTAATAGTACTTCTTCTTCAATTGGAAATTGTGAATACGGTTGAATATCAGCAAAACTCTGAAACCCTATACTTGGTATTATGTCAATATGTATAACAAAAAGTGTATTTCCATATAGTTCTGCTTTTTGTCGATTCTTACTTGTAGATGTAAATGAATTCCATACGAAACTTTTACCAACACCTTTTCTATAGGCTTCAATCATTTCAACAGTTAAATTCGCACCACGATAAACTACGTCAAAGTATGAGTTATCATTAGTTGAGATCAAGGAATGTACATGCGCATCGTCATATACACAGCATTTTCGTAGGTATGCAGCTAACAGTGCACAAAATGGTGCTAACGTATCAATTTTCGTCGTGTCTTCTTCACGTAGAGTTTTGTTGACGAGCTTATATAAAAAACTTTCTCTCGTATATAAATGTACACAACACTGAAGGATTTCAATCGATGACTTTCCAATAACATTTTCTAAATAATTACAAATCCATTTGGTTTCAATCTCCTTTCCAAGTTGAATCCCTTCAGTTAATATTCCACATGTTGCCATGGCAAGCACATTACTAGCGATAGATTGATTTGTGATTAAATCATAATATGCTAAGTTATTTCGGTACAACCATCGTCGAATGAATATGGATCCCAAATCGTGTTCTCCGTAAGTTTTAACATTTTCAGGTGATGCTTGTATTTCATTGGAAAAGAAACGTTCTGGACGTAAGTGTTGGTAAGATTCAATATTTGTCAGGCGTTTTATTGAAATTTTCTTCACTGAATTCTCTTTACTTATCTGCATCCCATCATCTAATTCAATGATATAATCGTCTAGTTCAATTTTCTTCTCACGCTTTTGATAAGCATCTTCAATAATTTCATTTTCAATATCTGGAAACGGTTTCATTTCTTCGTTTGAAAACTGTCGATACCATTGAACACGTCCTTCCGTCATTTGATTAAAGAGATTAAATTGAAAACGTAATCTGAAAATCAATAACAGTAATGGTTTCTTTCCAAATAAACCGCTTAATAATTTCATTACACTAATTCAACAGTTCCATGTAGAAAAAAGAAACAAAAAAAATCTTACAAATATATGTGAGTGAGAAAGGAAAAAGGAAAGAAGATTATGTCTGTGTTATGTTAAAATGTGGAAATGGTAGAAATAAAGCGATATCGGAGTTCCATTAAAAAGAGGATGCCCCTGGATTTTCATTAAAATTTTTAATGAAATTATTGTGACATCAAACATTTATTTATTTCAAAACTTCCAAAATTTTTTATTCAACTGGAATATTTCTCAAATCGATTTCTTTGTTCTGTTAGCTAGCTTTGTCATGATAGATGCTTGAATACTGTGAAATTACTTTCATTTCAGATGATTAGATTTGAATCCAACATTTGGTTTGGATTTTCATTTGACACAGAGTCTGTACTCTACTCATATAAAGTGTATCCCAAAAATTCTAAAATAAGTTTTTTGTTGTTGCTATAAAGCTAGATAAAAAGGCTTTTACTTAGCTTTATAGCAACAACAAAAAATTTATTTTGCATTTTCTTCCGCACTTCTGATGAATTAATTATACAGGTAATTGTACTCGACATAGACATAATTTTGACTGATCAATTATGTGTAATTCAACCAATAATGTTATTGATCAATAATTCTCACAAACTCACGATTGTTTTTTGTTTGATGGAGTTTTATCGGTTTTCGAGCTTATGTAAATGTATAGTCGGAGACCAATCAAATAATTTAACATGATATTTCACTATATTAACAGCATTATATGTTTGATACCCAACATATACATAACTATTGTCCTTATCTATAATTTGATATCACAGCTGGTTTTGTTCTTTCCATTCTCTTTTTCTTTATACGAAAGAACACAAAGGCTCGTGTTTATGGTACGGCCACATCGAAAATATACTTAAAAATTGAATAAGGCCATCTGAGAATAAAGACAAACAAACAAGAAGAGCAAATATTGGATTATTAAAAGAGACGTTCCACTATTGCACTGAAGAAGGCCATTACGTCACGAAATTATTTTTGGCTGAAACTTATCTCATTCTACTCGACGTATAACATTACTG